GAAGTTTGTGGGTTCAAGCCCCACATCGGGCTCTGTGCCAACAGCTCAGAGCCTGGAGTCTGCTTCAGATCCTGTGTCTCCCTCTCTCTCTGCCCCTCCTCCACTTGCACTCTGTCTCTGCCTCTCAAAAATAAATAAACATTTTTAAAACATTAAAAAAGAAAGAAAGAAAGGGCTACTGCAGAAGACAAATATGGCCTGAACTGGGTGGTGGCGGCAGAAATAGAACAAGAACACCAAACATGAGAAAACTGGAAAATCAAATAAAAATGACTTATCAACTCATCAAACACTGGAGCATGAGGAAGAGGAAGGGTTTGAAGGTGAGTTTGAAACTCCATTCCTGGAAGCCTGGATTGATGTTGGGGTCAGAAGTTGAAGCTTCTGGGCAGGAGATGAAAAGTTCCCCTTTGAAATGTACTAGCATAAGGTGCTTGTAAGGTGTCTGATAGGCAAAAAAAAAAAAAAAAAAAAAAAAGTAAGTCTGCATTTAGGAGAGTAATCAGATATAAAGAGATGGTTATGGGGTAGTTGTCTTATAGAGAATATAGTTAAAGCCATGACAGCAGGTACGATAACTAAAGACACAAAAAGAAAACTTTTTGAAGAGAAGAACTTGGGACATACCTATATTTAGGGATGAAAAAGAGCAAGGGGAGGTAAGAACAACTAAGAAAGAGCATTTAGTATAAGAGGGGAATCAGAAAAGTTTAGGGCAATGGAGGCCAAAGGAGAAGAGTTTCAGAAAGGAGATGATATGTAACATTTTAATATACTATAGATCTACACCACATCTGAGATGTTTTCGTTTTCATCTTGACCTTGGGGTGGGAGAACCCTAAAGCAGCATTCACAATTTCTAATAACTGGAAGAATTTGTGACAAAACATTTTGTGACTTTTAACTTGCCATCAGGTGCCATTTAGTTCTTGTTAAATGTCACGGTTCCTGCCGGCTCTACGTACACAACATGCCTGGATCAAGTGAACTCCTGTCGTGTTATTGGGAGAAGAAACAGGGGTTTGAGGGTAGGCTGCCATTTCCCCAGGTGACCCAAGAGGAATCATCCACTAATGTGGGGATGCGAAATGAAGGAGAGTTGGGACAATGTCTGAATGAGCTGAAGTATAATCAAGCCAGCATGTGGGAATATTAATTTGAAAGAAGCGAGGCTTCCCGATAGGAAGACAATGCATTCTCTAAGTGTATTACATTGAGAGGTCTTCCAAAGGAAAGCGCCCTCTCCCTGTGGCCAGCTGTTTTCCCTTTGGCTGTGATAGAAGAGAACCTGGCTGTAGCATTCAGTGGAGGAACAAGAAAGAGTCGAAGCTCCCTTATCTTTCCCAAAGGACTAAAACTCTCTCCCTTCTGTGTGGTGTCAGCAAGGACCTGAGCAGACATCCAGTGGAGAAAGGCTCCACGGACAACCAGATAAGCCCGCAGGTTATGCAGGAGGGAACTAGCACTCAATTCCCTTACTCCATGAGGAATGAGGCACTCCCATGAGGGGCACAGGCACTGGGGCTGAAGGGGGCACCAGATGGGGGCAACACAGACAGGGGACCAGGGAAGTGGAGATCCCCAGGAAAACAGGCAGCAGCAGCTACCATGCAAGACGGTTTCCTTCCTTTCTTTCTCTTTAAATTTTTGCTAACATTTATTTTTGAGAGAGAGCAAGCAAGAGAGCGAGTGGGGGAGGAGCAGAGAGAGGGAGGCAGAGGATCCAAAGCAGGCTCCACTCTGAGCACAGAGCCTGATGCGGGGCTTGAACTCACAAACCGTGAGATCACGACCTGAGTCGAAATCAAGAGTTGGCCGCTTAACTGACTAAGCCACCCAGGCACCCCAGGACCCTTTTCAAAGGCCTGCCCAGTTGGGCCTCAAACTCTCAATGTAATACAATGGGAAAAGATCAGCTACCGGAACACAGCTCCCAAATTCGAGATTCTACGATGTTTTCAAATCCCAAAGTTTGAAGACTGCTTACACTGCACTCTGTCCCCTGTGTATTCCATCTCAGGATAAAAAGAGACGAGGCAATCCTGCTAGACAAGGAGATGGTCTATTCCACACTCCCTCAGCCACCCCCAACTCCACGGTATTCTGATGGGCACTGCCCCCCCCCCCCCCCCCCCCCC